CACATTTCGGAAACCCTGTTTCATCCAGAATTAAAAAATAGTAATGTTTATATGTATCTGGATATTTACGTGTAAACAGATTGGTATGATGCAAATTAATCACAAATTATGCAAATTCGCCGTGCACATGTACGTAAGCCAGTCGCGTAATCATTTCGCGAGTTATCGCACACTGTCAACAGTACCGGAAACAAAGGGAGAAGATCTGATACGATTTCAAAACGTTCTGAACCAACTGACTCTTGACTTGCCCGGCGTTACACTCTAATTGGACGCCAGTGGATTTCGTTGGCGGATGCGAAACGTCAGACGGCCAGATAAAAAGAGGAGCCGAGCCATTTCCGATCCATGGGGAAATTTATTATTCATGAATTGAGAAACAATCAATTCCAGTGTGTCGCGCCTTGAACCGACATTTTTTTCAATACATTTCTCGTGGACTGTGTCGAAAATAATTAAACAGCGACCTAGTTGTGACGTTGTATCGACGAGTTAATTGATTCTTTTAATTTTCGAGTACTGCACTGAATACTTCAGCTGAACGGTTACGTGATGAGTCCTTTGTGTTTTTAATTTTGGAATAAACATTGAAAATTTAAGCGTGAATTGTTCAATTGGAATATCTTGTTTCTCTTATTTTGATGTTAATTTTGATTCAAGTCCACTCACAACGTTCCACTTACGTGTTAACGTAACTGTTACCCGAATAACTAACAGTATACAAAGATAGAACTTGTTCAATGTTCCCAGTGTTACCCGGGCTTATCACAGGGCGTCAAGGGGATGAAATCTGTGGGTGGATATAAGGTGTACGATATATAGATAGAAATAATAGTGCACTGAACTTAAATTATAGCATGGTGTTAAGGGGATGAGATCAAGGGTAAGGGGTGAGAAGTTCGATCTTCCTGGAAGCTTATATATTCCAGAGCACTAGGGGTAGTTTTATATAATTTGCTTTAAATCAGGATAAATTGTAGGAAAAAAGTAAAATAAATATCGGTGACTTTCATCTATAAATAATTGCAAAGTTTCAGTTGATAAAAATAAATAATATATAAAAAGCCAGCATCAATTCACAAAAGTAATTCGTGTTCATTAGATGAAGAACATTTAATGAAAACCAAAGAATAAACGGAAATAAAGGGAACAATAATTCTCGAGGAGTAAAGAATAAATGCTTCATGAATTTCGTTTCAATAATGTGTGTGAAATGTAAATAAAAATAACGTGTTACAGTGTTCTTGGTTGATTACTTCGTTTTTAACTGTTTCCAACGAGGCTGAAATATATAAAACAAAGGAAGCGATATAAAATATCGAGACCATCTTAATGGAATATTGGTACGGGTTAAACGGACGAAAATAATCATCAAAAATTGCACGGCTCGGCACTGCACTGCCATCGTACTCCGGTATTTTACATCCTGTAATGGAATTTCAGGTATCGGTTCCAGTTATGGAATTCGCGGAAAGCATGCAACGTCGCCCGTGGCGCCGCCATTCTGAAAATACAGTCGGATTCTTTGCCGTTCATACAATTCGGTTGGATTTTTATCGATACACAGTACTTAGGAGCATCCAGAAATATTATCGACGTCTTTTAAATTGCATATCTTACGTGCTGAACCTTGCACAACGTTTCTAAAACGTTCTCAAGAACAAGCACACATGGAATAATAAATTACACGATTAAATGCCGTATAATATGCCCGAAAAGCACGCGAGGAAACCAGTTGTTCCTTGCGAATTTCACTTCGTTTCCCGATAACTGCGATTAAGCGTTTAACACGTTGACAGTTTCCTTGTAATCAGCGGGAAAAAAATCAATGAAATCTCTTTAACTTGATTATACCGTCGGTAATCTATCAGTTCACTAAACATTTTGGGAACGATCAGAAAATTGATATCGAATAAAAAACTGTTGGTAGCATTAATAACCGAATAATGTGAACTCGAGTTGCAGTATTTAATAACGAATCATCACGATTAATTACTACAATTCTCGATTTATTTATATAATTGAAACATTACTTAGAAGAATAGAAACATATAATTTCACAACTTTCTCAAGTCTCAAATTCAAACACATCCTCGACGGAACGAGAACAAAACCAAATGGAAGGATCTCAAACAAACAAACCAAAGCTACGAAAACATAATTGTATAAATACCAGAAGGACAGAATTAACAACATTCACCGACGTAACTAAACAAAACGATCTCCGCTAGAACGAAATCGGTCTAAACCACGTTCGACCTAGCATTCACGAGCCACCCTGTACAACGGGGGCGCAGCCACTCGAAAGGGATCGTCCTTCGAAGCGAAATTGTCACGCAAACGTCATCGATCCCCTTTCTTCGCAAAAAGGAACAGCGTCCTCTGCCCACCCGTTCGCTCGTCCGCCCACTCCCCTCCGCCAGCTTTACCGGTGATGGAAAAAAAAGAATTCTTCGCCGCGGGAACAGGGCGCGAAGAGGTTTCGGGCCGCGTTAATGGAGCAGCTCGATGCGGATTTGACGCGTCATTTAACGCAAGGATATTTGCATGGGCGCCGATAAAGTAGATCAGCCGGGGAACAAAGCGTTCCCGATGACACGAGCAAGTGCGAATCCGGCCCGGGGCTACAATTTCGTTCCCCCGGCCACGCTGGAACCATTTTCCAGTGGGAGGGGGTGGTGAAGGGATAGACGATTGAAAAACTGCAGGAGGGAGACAGAGAATCACTGACTGACTGACTGAATAACTGGCGGAGCAAAGAGCGTCGCCGACTTTTTCACCGGTTACGTAACCGTGTCGTGCCATGTTGTTCGGCAAAGCGGGTTTTCGATCCCGTTTCTCGCGACACGGAGAGAGCTACGGTTCCCGGCAACCGGGTCGCGATCAAAGAAACTCCGCGCGCGCTTCAACAATCCCGCAATGCCGCGGGACGCTCGCGGGGGAATCACGCCGGGAACGCGCCGCAACGTCTGCTAACGTTGCTCCGGGTCACGTGGCAACCGCGAAGGATGCTCCGTTTGCGTAACGAACGAGGGGACGGAAGTTCGAGTGACTGCTCCGCTAGACGTTGCTTGTCTTTCTTTTGCTTTGAGACGTTTCGGAAATATTTTTCTTTTTTTTTTACTTTTTTAGAGGTACCAAGGTTTAGAGTTTTTGGATTTCTTTGAGATGAAGGGGATGGCTAATTTTAGATTTCACAGGGAAATGGCTATTTAGATTGTGGAGTAGAAGAGAGCTGTGTTTAGCTACCTGTGACTTGAAGGTATGATACTTTAGAGCTAGGATTCTCTTAGAGTAATCAAAACAGTAACAAAACGTTTCTGAAGATTAAGTGAAGATTAAGTCTGGGTCTGAAGTAGCTGACAGAGTACTTTCCAGATCGGGAAAGCTGCTACTAGTTTTCTTCGCCAGACTCAGAATACTTATCCTCAATTAACGTACTCCTTCGACCACGAAGAATATTCACCTATCTTCTTGTTATTAGTACCTCCAAATTAATCAAATCCATTGTAATCCATTCACGAAAGCTTCAAACGAAACCCGAAATAAAGGATGGAGACCTTGGCAAGCAATTCAAGCGAGGCAACATCGGGAAGAGCGTATCAAGCGACGGTATCCGAAAACAAACGATACTCTTCCGCGTGGATTGGCAAATCGGATAATCGGCTCGCAAAGCCGAAAGGGAGAGTGATCGCCGAGGGAAGCCGACGCGCGCCGCGCCGAATGAAAATAAAACCGCGAAGCGTCGAGGATATTCTCTGTTCCCGATGCTTCTAATAACGCGGGGAGAGTTCTTTCTCTGTCGATCGCGTTACACGAGGCGCGTGGCGAGGATGAACCGCGGCGATCATCGTTCCAGCCGTTTGAAAGGAAGAAATTCCATCGATATCGGTTTCCGCGGTAGCGTGGGGTGGGTCGGTGAGTATTCACGGTCCACAATCGTCTCGATAGGCTTGCGAGAACTGATTATCAGAATCGCGGGACTCATTCGCGCGGCGAGGAAAAGAGAAGCGAACAAAAAGTTTCCTCTCCGTTTTTCCTCCTCCCTTTTTTTAGTCGTTCGACGAGACACGCTCGACCCTTTGAAGCTGTCTGATTTTAATCGCGCGGACGGTTATCCTCCCTCGCCCGCGAGGCCGCCCTTCTCCTCGTCGGCGAGAAGGACACGGCGAGTCCCGCCCCGAATATTTTTACAAGCAACAGACGAAAAAAGCGCGGATCGATGGTTATATTTATAAGCGGTGCCGCGCCGAAAAGATACCCGCTGAAAAATAGAAAAGGCAGACGCGCGATCGCCTCGGAAACGGAGCCCGCTCCCGGCGCCGGGGGCGGCTGAAATTAAACCGCCCGCCGGTCAGAGAGTTCCGCCTTTCGTTTCTAGCTATCCAGGTTCAGATAATCGAGTTTCTCGCGAGAGCGTCAAAGGAGCCGAAGCTACGCCGCCTCGGATTCGCTATCTCCGGACGGGATCAAGAATATTTAAACAGATCCACGGGATGCTCGGGACCAATATAACCGAGCAAACAATCTTCCTCCTCTTTCCTCTTTTTTTTCCATTCGGATTGCGCGCTTTGTTCTCGATGTATTTCGCGCCCGCTGAACACGCTTTTATTTCTAATTGCTCGTGTACCATTCTTCCCGGCTTGTTCAATGGGACTCAACATTTAACGACTCTCGAAAACCCCAATATTCTTTTTGGAGAAACAATCCAGCCGTTTTCATAACATTTAACCGTCATCATTGAGTAAAAAATATCTATAAAATACTCAAACTTAGACCCCTTACTTCCGCGTTACCCTTTATATTTAGCTTTAGACGTTAGCCGACTACAGTCTCCTTTACTAAGCAAAGAGTCGACTGATCGGATTTCACTCCGGGTAGATCAACCAGCCGACAAGATCAACGTGATACCTAGCTGTCTTGATCCCATCCGTTTGAGGATACAGTCTACCAAGAGCAATAATGAAGCGAGAAAAGGAAGAACAGATTGGCACACTTACGGGTGAGAGACGCGGCGATGAAGACTCCTCATGGACATGGCTCTGTTCTTGCGGTTCGAGCTCGTGTTCGATCCGCTCGTGCTCCCGTTCGGCGTGGTATGGCGTGGCGCAGCTGCTGGGGGAGCGGACTGCTCCCCCGTGGCCGCCACGACCACCGCCGCCGACGTGAAGCCCCCCGAAGTCGCCAGGCCGGTTCGGCGAAACGGGCCCGAGCTAGCCGCTAGTCGGCGTGCTAATCTCCGGGCGAGCCGACGGGCCAGGCGCGCCCCTGCAGCACCGGCACCCACGCTGACGGTGTTTCTGTCCCACCCCCCGTGGCCAGGGGGTGGCACACGATGCCTGGTGACCGCGCCGACGCAGCTGCCCTCTCGTCAATCTCGCCTCTCGTCGCCTGCTTTCCTTCACTTCCCTCTTTCTCAGCCGCGACGGACCTATCGGTCCCACCTCACCAGGTGGCTAGGCCCTTTCACTGTCGACGTTCCATGTATACTTGCGGACGTTAGGGGAGTTATTCTTGAGAGCGGTGATATCTCCTTTCGAGCACCCGCGCGCGGTTCTGCTCTCACTGGAATGAATATAGATAGATTTAGTGGGCAGTTTGCTTGGATTGTTCGGGGATTGAGCAGAATTAATGTGTGCACGTTTTGAGGTGTTATATTCGAGGAGTTTTAACGATGGAACTATCAAGCAACCAAATCGATTCTTGAGTTTGCTTATTGATACTTTTGTGCTTTTTCTTGGTGCTGCTGTTTAGGATGTTCTCGGTAAGGAAGGAGCATTCCATGAGAAAATTTTGTTTATTATCTGACGTTGAGTACAACTTATTGCGCACCCTGTATATTCGAGTATACGCTACGCCGTTACACTGTTAGTGTAAAGTTTTATTTTTCTACGGATATTTCATTAATGAGCATGCTGTTGCTATTTAATTATGTGTTAAGTATTTATAGCCGGTGTTCATGTCAGGCACGCATTCAGCGGGTCAATAATTCCGAGCGTTTTAAGATTCCTAAAGAAATAAAGTATTCTTTATTTACATGCAGTATCCATTATCCATTTATTTACATGCATTTATTTGTATGCATATTTTATCGTGAACTACAAGTCTGACCCGTACAGGGTGTCTTAAGAAAACACTGAAAAACTTTAAAAGCAGTATGAGAATATGAATAATGATATATATTCTCAATATTAATAAATATCTTTTATCACCCGGAGAACCTGGCAAATCTTAGCGAAAAAAAATGAATGAAAAATCGTTCAAAGTGATGCAGGACGTATCTAAGGGTAGCTTTGTAACCTTCCAAAAGAGTTCCTCTAAGAAACGCGGAAGAAAAACACTCTTTACATAAAATATTTAAAAATCCCGCCACGAGTGTAACCCGGTATCCATGTAACCCCATAAAAACTTTCATTCAATTTGCGGAGATATTGATGCCTGCATGTATTGGGTGAGCGCGAAAGTTTTGATGGATTTTCCAGTACACGAATCGACGGTGTTATTGACCTACCAAGTTCAGCTGATAGGACTTGTGCGCAAGCCCAATAAAAGGTAGGGGAATGGGAGGCCCATAGACTGCGTATTTTCTGTGTTTATAAACCTTTCTCTTTTTATTGACCGAACACTAGCCTAACAAGAATTTTCGTAATTGTTATCGTAATCGTTGTATAAATTCCGTTGAATGAGAACTTCAATGAATCTGCTTTCTAAACTGCCTTTACTTCCCTAAACCGTTTTGAAAAGTCTCCCTTTTGTTTTCAAGTGTATGGAAGAAGGATCGTCCAGATTCTGAAAAAGAGGTTAGGAAACTAGAGCAAGAGATGACACCGAGATCCCTTCTGTTCTTGTGATCCTACAGGTGCTCTTCGTAAGTCAAAGCTTTGTTAAAATGTATGAAACCCAAGTTGGTTACATAAATCTTATTCGAACAATGGAAACATTGCATGAAATTTAACACTAGAACTACCCAGTATTCGATACGATTAATATGTACTTCTTCTAAAAATTATAAGAGTGCATTTGTTTCAATTACAGTTGATATTCATTACATTAGGCAAGTGAAACTATTCATTTTCAAAATAATTTCAAATACTTAACATATTTTTAATATCAATCATTTTTCAATGAGAAAATTAAAATCAGTCAGTTTGACTGATGCGGTAGTTCTAGTGTTAACACTAGAACAAACACCCAAGTGTCTGTGCCTTTACAGTAATTGTAAAAGGAGAAATTAAGAATTAGTGATTTTGACCTGCCCGGTAGTTCGTGTTAAGAACGTTAAGAATATTTCGAATCCTCTGCTTTAAGTACACTAAAATGTCGCTAGAGCGCGCATCGATTTGCAGCCATAAATCGCGCTCCTTAAACGTAGATTTCAAACAATTTCCAAAAATGAATATACAGGATCTTTACCACCTTGTTACTTTATAAAATATTATAGATATATTTGAATCAAAGTGCATAGAGAATCTATATGATAAATTAATACAAAATATGACACTATGGTGTTAAACATTGTCCCTGATTAAATCGATATTAAAAATTCATCCCAAACAATGTACATATATTTTATATGACTATAAATTAATCAATTCTATTTTAATCTGTATAAGAAACGTTAATTTTATAAAGTTCGTTAGTGATACATTATTTGCTGTTAACGATAGTTCGACATAATCTAATAGGAGATAGCGAGATCGAAGACGCGCGGGAAACACTATACCATAGCTGTGTTAAATCTAAGTGAAGTACTGAATAATAGATAGGAACAGTTACTCGCCACTGATGCAGAATTCAACTAAGCTCCGGAGATTAGTTTGGACATCGCTGATCTAAACCAGCACGTTAGAGTTCACAGTTTCTGCTAAGTTGCTCCGCACTTTAGCGTTACTAGGATCCGTCGCGCAGAGGTTAGTACTCTAGCGCGCATGCGCACAGGCAAAATAGGGGACCGGACGAATCCATTGGTCCTTTAGTTGAATTTTGCGGGAAAATTCAAATTAATGGATTTTTCACAAGTTCTTTCCTTCTATTTTGGCACGTAATCAAATTAAACTGAACAATAAAATTAAATGAACAATAAATATAATTAATTTAGAAACATACATTAAGTGTATAATAATCATACGTGTACCAATTTATATAAATAAATTCTAAATGAATATTTCTCTTTTCAAAACTAATTTCTTTTAAAACGACTATCTTTGCTATTAATTCTGAAAATATAACTGAAACCCTACCTCTAGCTTACACAATCTTAATGTCTGATAAATGTTATCTAACCTTTCATTTAAGAATGAACCTTGATTCATCTAATCTCATAACATAAAGCATAAATTACTAATCAAGATTAACCTATAGTAATTACTGCATTAATCTCTTGCACCTCGTAAATCCTGAAAAAACTGGTACACTCTGAAAATTACCACAAAAACGAATTCTGAGATCTAGACGAAGAATTGTGTTACGCCTAAATTAAACGTCAAAACTATTTAAATCATCACACTCCGAAACCTAAGAGCAAGAATCCCCTAAATATTTGGTGCAAACAAAATACTCGATTACAAACGGAAACGCCACGAAAGAATTCGTGAGCGTGTTGACGTTCAACATTTTTGTCAATGTTTTTTTCTAACATTTGGATTGCGTGCGCGCGGCTCGGCCCGGCCCGGGCGAATCACTTTTTCTGTTTCGAAAGGCCCGTGTTTATTTAATCAGTTTCGCGTGGCGCGAGTTTCGCGTGACTTCTACGCCGTCGCTAACGTGTACACGTGATTTTTATCGTTCGTCGATGGCGTCCAGGCACCGAAACCGTCGTGTCGGTTCACGGTTTCTTGCACCGGAAACGGTTCCTCGGGCCGTTCGCCGGTTCATTTGCAATGATAACACGGAAATAAAGTCAAGGACGTCCGGATATTGAATACTGGAACAATGAAAACTTTCAGCGGATCGAGTTTCCCTTAGCAGCACTTCTTCGAATTCTCTTTGGCAGTCTTCGCGATCCTGCACAGCCGTGAGATAAACGTGAATATTCACTGTCGCTAAAAAATATATAACTACTTAACCTCTTGGACTATAATTTCTTTCACAACGGCTACGAATAAAGCTATTTCATTGTTTACAATTCGTTAGGAAAAGAAAACACGTTTATACTATGTCTACGTTTACTCTAAAGCACTGTAATTGATTATATGAAAGGAGTATTTAATTTAGATTTAAAATAGTTCAGTGATATTTATATCTGTTAGATTCTGTTTGAAATTACGAGACTGACACGATGTTACAGTGCAAAGGGTTAAGGTATTCACACTACAGAGGAAAATAAGATTTCAAAATAATCATGATTTATTATTTTCTAATTTGATTATTAACCTATGAATTTTATTCACTTACGTCTGTTTGCCTGGTTGTATAAAAGTTGAAGCATCTAATGCTTTTTTTAAAATTATAAATACATGTTTAAAAAATAAATACTTGTTTAGAATGTGTATACGAAAACCAGGTTAAAAAATTAAGGTGAAGATTCTCCTCTTATTGGTAGAGTATGAATTTATTTTCATGTGTCTGACCATAGTCGAATGTTTCTACTTACAGTATACAGACTGTGGTATTTAACAATAATGCTTGCGTTTCATCGATCTCAATGTTTTGTGATTTTCAGATATTACCAATTCATTGTAGAACATTAAATTAATAACTCTGTAAAAAAAGCTTTTAACTAACTACTTCAGATTTTAATAAAAAAACTTCGATTGAAAAAGAATCTTCACATTTCGAGTGCTAGTCAAAATGATTGTTAATTGAATGCAAATCATAAAATACAACACAACGCGACTGTGAAATATGAATCTAAAAATAGATAACAAACAGCACTACTTTATTTCTACATAACCGAAATTTGTCACGTGAAAGTATAACAGCGTCGATTTATTTTTCAGCTCATCGTAAGGGGTGAATTGTTATCCATTAGTTTTTACGCAAACTTCCCCAATATTTCTCTCGACGATGCCATTTAACCATATTCAGCTTTAATAATCGTAAAAAACAAACCCTGATCCGCCGCGTTTGGGCCGTAATTTTTTTCTCTCGCATTTACGATGACAAAGCCGACTAAAAACGGTATTAGTACCCGACATTCGACTATTTAATTATAATAAAAAGTAAAATAACGCGTAAAATACGGGTCAACATTTCCCTCAATACTAGAACTGCCAGGCATTTAATAGGATTAATATGCAATTCTTATAAAAATTATAACAATATACATTTCTGTTGCTTCGTATATTCATTATAGTATTCAGGTGAAGCTATTAATTTTTTTAATAATTTCGGATATTTAATAGATTGAAGGTATTAATAATTGTGAAATAAGAAACCTGAAACCCGTCATTTTAACGGATACTTAGTTCCAGTGTTAAACGCCAACTTCGCTCGTCAATTAACGGAAACTATAGAATATATTCGCGTTCCCCTTCCGAGAAGTGTTTGTGCCCACGATTCTCCGGGTATAGGTGCACCCGGCCGCCATAGTGGATACTTTTCGAGAACCTTAAAATTCAAACGGGAAATATTCCGTGCGCCCGGTACAAATTGAAACGGTGCAATAAATTTTCCCGCCGCATGAAGTTTCATTTTCGTGGAAAACGACTTGAAAAAAGAGTCGGAAAAAAATAGGACGAATGCTCGGGCACTTGACTGAAACACGGCGTATCGGACGTAGCGTTGCCGCCACATGCTTCCGACGCTATAGTCGCGTCCGTATTTTCAGCAGTACTATATCTTTTCGTGCCACTTGTTTGACGGAATAAGATATTTTCCACGAAATAAAAAGAGAGACGTTCCCTGTCCACGAAAGAAGTTTTATCTCGATTTGTCTCTTTCCTCGGTAAAAATTCTTCACTGCCAAAACAAAATTCCACGTTATTTTCCTTTATAAATGACGCATTTCGTCGAATCAACGTTTACTCGGTGGTTTGATGAAATCATTTGTGCAAACAGAAATAAAATGACAGTACAGAATTTTACATTAAAGTACTGACATTTTTCGTGACTGATCGTTACAGTTATTTTATCAGTACGAACATATTTAATAAAAATTTTGATGGTACTGATAATCAATACTCAATTCAATTAAATGAAGTGAAATATCATCCCCGTATTTTATTCTCATATCGAAATATTACCTGTGTCTGATTTGACGTCATTTTTGTATACGAGCACGAACGTACATGACTATTTTTCCAATAATTTCACGTGTTGAGTACTAATAGTTAGCAGATTTAAAAAAAAGCATGATGTTAAAAAATGTTGAAGGAGAAACTATTTTTGACGTAGAACGGAGTATACTTGAGTATTTTTAGAACCACGAGATATATTTCGTGAGGAATTATTAGGAACGGTGTATTAATATTTAAAGCTGCAAATCTGCGTAAATTTCTATGGTCTAATAGTAACCCAAATGGAACCTCCAGACCCAAAATAATCCAAATTTATTTCTCACTGGAATCCCTCTTGCACGAAATTTCCATTTCGTGTATACCAATCTAAAACATTTCATGTTCAATTCGAATACTCGAGAAATTCAAGGTAGTACTTACATGCAACTACCAAAAAACAATACAAAATAACATCGTCCAAATACTAATAATTTATAACAGATTAACAAAAAATCTTTTCAACCTCTTACATTACAATCTCATTTATACATATCTTTTCATTTCCTTAAAAAGTAGGAGAACGAGAAATAAATAGACATAAATTGAATGTCCCCACATTGAAGACTATAGTCCTAACAAAGCTCTACTATCGACAAAAAAAAATCTCGTCCCCTTCGCACGAAACGACCAAACAATATCCCCAACTGATCAAATTCAGTTCACGAATTCGCGGCGGCGAATTCGACTCGATATTACAGGGCAAAAGGGGATTGGCTGAAGAATAACACAACTTGGAACGCCGGAAAGGAGAAATGAAAATCTCCTCTGACGGAGGATCGGTTCGCGAGGTCCAGGCGACGTACCTGTAAACGTGTCACGAGGCGGCCGAGAACGTGATCCCGAGCGAGCCGATTCATCCCACTTGTGTTCCCCTGGAACGGTCGGTACACGCGAGTCTGAACGTCAGTGATTGAACATCAGAGGCTTCCCCATAGTGTGGTTATCGGTGTATCACAGTTTGTAGATCCGACGCATGCCTCGCGATCGACCATCGTTTCCATTAATTACACTCGCATTTCATCCTGGCACACTGTACGTTGCGCCCCCTTTCATTCACACCCATTTCCTTGAGCGCACGTGTTCACTTTAATAATCTTCGTTTTAATATATCTTAGTATCACAATGGGACGATTTGTTTAAATCTTCTTTTTTCACGGTGTACCGTTTACTATTCCACATCTCGATCTCCGTCCGTCGTCATCGCCGTCATCATCCTCATTACCTTCATCCCCATAATCACCATCATCTGTCTTCTCCCCCGTTTCTTCATCTCTTTCCACGACTCTTCCCGTGAATAATTTGTTTAAACCTTAAGCTTAGAAATCACAGTCGCGAATTGATACGGATCTCCGTAGCATGTGCCGCTGTTGCTCGACCGAAACGATCACACACCGCCTCCTCGTATACCAGGCATATCGGCCCCCACCCTCCGCCTCTCTTTCTCTCTCTGTCTGTCCACCGGCGGTTGCACACGATTGGTACGACCTGTGTCGCCGATTCCTCTCTCTCCTTCCGCGGGAGGGGGGTAGCACTGAAAAGCCGAGAAACCTCGGGGGTAACCGCTTCAACGTTCCATCGAACGGGTACCAACCACCATCCCCCTCGGCCGCCCTCGCCTCTCTCGCCGCCGTGTCCTCTCGCGCTCTGATTCGGAC